TGCTGCGGGCACAGGTTGGCACTGCCCCCGCGAGCCCACCGGCACTGCCCCACGCCTTACCGTAGTTGCTCCCCGGTGACCAGGACCTCAGCCATGCGCTCCAGCTCCCTCTGCTGCGCCCCGCCACTCCCGCTGGGGCTGCTGTCGCTGCCGCCGCTGCCCGCGCTGCCGCCCTCCATGCTCGGGGCCGCGTCGCTACCACTGCCTTCGCTGGCCGCCGGGTTTGGGTGTTAAATCAGTCTGCCCTCAGCGAGGCCTCGCCCGCCATATTTGTTAGGGGCAATCCCGTTGCTCACGCGCGATTGGCTGGAAAGGGAATCCCTGTGGGCAGGCTGAGGTGCTAGGCAAGTCTGTTCCTGGAACTCCAGCTTGGGGGCGTGGCCGGAGCCCCGCGTGGTCGGGGGGCGTGGCCGAGGGAGGAAAATATAAACATCTGGGCGGGGCACCGCTGGTGCGTTTTGTGCGCTGGTGAAGGTTAAATTAGGTGAGCTTCTGCTGTGGGACCCTGAGGACAGGCTACGAAGTTACTAAACAAATGTGAAGGTATTTTGACTATACTTTCCATGCCCCAAATTGCTAAAAAGTAAAAAAAAAAAAATAACAGTATAGCTAAATAGTGAACGATAAAGAATCTACACGTCACTGCAGGGCATGGAGAAATTAAGTATTTTTTCGCCCTAATCCCCTTTATCAAGGACAATTTACTTATCTTATGTTGTAATCAATAAAGAACGCTGGCCTAAGAATCAGACAGATCTGGGATCCAGCTCCACGCCTACAAATAATTCTGTTTCCTCTTTTACAAAAATAAAAACAATTGTGGGTACCACTTGTTGAGAGGTGCTGCATTAAAGATGCTTCAGGTAATTGTTACCTTCTTTAATTAGTGCAAAAAAAAGCCATAAAATGGATATTGTCCTCATTTTATATCAGGAAGCAGGCTCAGAGAAATCGAGAAACTTGTCCAAGGCTAGCAGCTAAGTGCAGGAAGTAAGAATCAAACCCAGGACATTCTGGCTTCAAAGTTGTGTGCTTAAAAGATTGCCTCTTAGTCCTAGCTGGTTTGCCTCAGTGGATAGAGAGTAGGCCTGCGGATTGAAGTGTCCCAGCTTCGATTCTGGTCAAGGGCATATGCCCGGGTTGCAGGCTCTATCCCCATTGTGGAGCATGCAGGAGGCAACCGATCAATGAGTCTCTCTCATCATTGATGTTTCTTTCTTCACTCCCTTCCTCTCCCTCTATGAAATCAGTTAAAAATTTTTTTTTTAAAAAAGATCGCCTCTTAAAATAGGGATATAATGGTATTGTCAACCTTTCAGGGAATAGGGAAGGAACTTTGACTAATGCCAAGCGTCCTGTTTTCAGGTCTCATGCAGGGTCAGAGCCTGGTCTACAGGAAAACCCGAGTCATTGTTGTAGTAAAAGACTATCTGTGTATTGAAGGTTTGTGCAGGTTGTTACAGTATTTGCATAAATACAAATCTCTGTGCCCTTACAACAAATACATGTGAAACTATTTTTTTAAATTAGCAATATCTTGCAAAACATTCTCTCAGTTGCCTATATGTAGTAGAATTCTACAGGATAAAAATAAAAATGAGAGGGCTGCTAAAAATCAACTGCTATTCTTTGTATATTTTATATCAGTTCTGCTATTCAAGAGTATTTGTACTCTTGTGTTGAAAGCTTACTGCTTTTATTGTTTGGTTTTGTTATTGGCATTTTGTTTTTAAAGATCACTAAAGCCTTTTCCAGCATGCTGCAAGATCACTACTTAAATTAACTTAAAATCTGCAACAATTCATTGAACATTTATTCTGTTCTTTATATGGTGCTAAGCACTTTGTTTATATTATTTAATTTGTTCTCACAAAAAGCCTGAGAATTAGGTATTCATAATGTCAATCTACAAAGGAAAGGCTTAGGCATAGAAAGATGAACTAGTTTGCCTAAATATTACACCTAAAAAGTTGCACAGCCCTCAAACCCTACTTCTGTAGATCCCCATCCTCAACCACACTACAGAAGAAGAACAATTGTCCAATTGCCTCTTGAATTCAACAATGAATATTAGGCAACTCTTTTGCCAAAAGAAATTATCTACATTTCTTAACTTTTTAAATAGTCCAATGCAAACATGTAGACAAAGTGAGAAAAAGTTCCCAGTGAATGTGATTCTAAGAGCCTCATTCTGCATCAAATAAAGTAATTTAACAAAGTAGAGATCCCAGAGTTAATGAATATAACAGCTGTTTTTTGCTTATGTTTTAATCCTGTAAAATAGAATATCAAGAGTTTGCATGGGCTTCACACTCACACATGCAGTTTCTCTTCTGATCTCGTCATTACTAACTTCGAAGCCTTATGCTAGTTACTGAACTTCCCGGGGCTTCAATTTCCTATTAATAAAGCAGGATAAAAAAATTCCTACCTTTTGGGATGTTATGTGGCTTAAATTAAATAACATTATGTAAAGTTTTCATGTATATTAAACGTGTTCAATAGCTGTTCTCTTTATGATGCTAGACAAAACCCTTTTTCTCAAGTTACCCCTAATTAATTGTTTAATTATTAGTCCTTCAAAATGAAGAAAAGAGAAGATCTGGCCCCACTAAATCTCTATTTAATTTAATGATTTTAAGCTTTCTCAAATTGCAGAATGAAAAGGCATTAAGTTGGTACACATGTCTAAGTATTCATTGTTCAAGCAACACTTTGTTTTATCCAAAAGCTCTGCCTCCCATTGTAAATCATATCACTACCATGAATATCTTTGATTTTTTTTCTCCCTTTTAAATCTACTCGTGTTTTCATTTGAATTTGGGCATCTTTCTTTATTTGAAAAATAAAAATAAAAAATGTCTTGTAAAATGCTTTCTTGATTAATAGTTTCTGAGAAAAAGTTTTTGATAAAAAAAACTCATCATAAAAGTTTATGATAAAAATAAACTATTATTTTTTTAAAAGCACATTAACAGAAGGGAAAGCAATTCAAGTCAGGAAAATACCTGATTACTCCAGTGAGAGGGAGAGAGCAGAACTTATTTTATGTGTTTGCAAAGTGTGTGTGTGTGGATGGGAAATGGGGAAGTGGTTGCTGATATTGTTTTAACCTTTCTTTTTGACATATGAGACACACCATGCTCCACTGGGTTAGAAAACAGACTCTTTTTCTTAGTAAAAGATGAGTGAACTGACTGCTGAGGACATGTGAGAAGCAATGCAGGACCGTGGGCTCTGGAACAGCTGGTCCCAGAATGAACTATGATCATAGGTATTGATAGACAAGAGAAGGACACTGACAGGACAATTGATCCAATGTGAAGATCTTAGAGGGACTGAAAATTCAAAGACAGCCCGGTTTGATTCCTGGCTCCATTGGGGCGAGTTCATTATCTTCTCTGAGATTTTTTTGTCCTCCTTTGTAAAGTCAAGACTATACCACTGCTCTCGCCAGTTTGGCTCAGTGGATAGAGCGCCAGCCTGCAGACTGAAGGGTCCCAGGTTCAATTCCGGTCCAGGGCACATGCCCTGGGTTGCGGGCTTGATCCCTGGTGGCAGACGTGCAGGAGGCAGCTGATCAATGACTCTCTCTCTCTCATCATTAACGTTTCTCTCTCTTTCTCCTCCCTTCCTCTCTGAAATCAATAAAAATATATATTTTTTAAAAGAGACTATACCACTAATCCCACGGGGTTGCTGAGATTATTAAGTACAACTTAATGAGTGCAGTTGTTACAGGTAGAAACTATTAAATGTATGCCTTCTCTTCCAGCTCACCTGACTTACCTGCTTCATGCCTTCTGGCTGTTTCTGTGCTCTGGAACCAGTGCTTCTCAAACTTTGGTGGGGAGGAACCAGGAGTGTGTGTGTGTGTGTGTGTGTGTGTGTGTGTGTGTGTATTCAATCCATTAAAGACTGATACTAGCAAAATAAAAATGAAATTTTAAAATCACACTCAAATGCACACACACAATAAAAAACAAATAAAGTAAAATAACACACAAAGCTGCCCTGGCTGATGTGGTTCAGTTGGATGGTGTTGGCCCATACATTGAAGGGTCTTGGGTTTCATGCCTGGGCACATGCCTGGGTTTCAGGTTGGATCCCAGGTCAGGACACATACAAGATTCAAGCAATGATGATTGCATAACAAATCAATGTTTTCCCCTCTCTCTCTCCTTCGCTTCCTGTCTCTCTCTAATAATTAATAAATTTCTAAAAAATAACAAACAAAGCAATGATAGGGGAACTTTGCCCATTTCCTCTTTGTTCTGCTGGCTGGTCAAAAAAGGCATATTAACAGGAGAAAATCACAAGGACTTCACATTAAAAGTCACCAGAAAGTGAAGCATAATGAGGTGTATTTGTCATTCTGAACTAAAGAGGGGGACGATAGGGGTCTAGGACTTCAAAAGGAAGTCAATTTAAAAGGAGATGAGTAAAGAGTTAAAGTTCAGTAAACAAATGTTTGTTGGGTCATCTTGAAACAATGGGACACAGAGAAGACTTTGATAAAAGGCTTTGCTAGGTTTCTCCCTGTTTATCACACACTAGTTCAGGTTAAGCTATAGTTATCTATGATGATATCTCCCTTCATTAAGCAGGTCCTCATCCTTTATCTAAATTCTTTTTAGGGGGAAGATCAAAGGTTCTTTCTGAGTATTTTGTTTCTTAAAAGTAATCAGCTTAAAATAATTAATATCCGAAAGAGGCATATTTTTGGATGATGCACTCTACTGCCCCTCAGAAACAACCTAGGAAATCACAAATATCTGGAAATACAACTCACTCCTAAACAACTCAGGGGGAAAAAGTAATTACAAACAGAATTAGGAAATATTTCAAACGGGTGATAATTAAAGATGATGTTTCAAAATTTGTGGGATACCACTAAAAAACAGAGATTAGAGGAAGATTTATAGCTTTAACTGTTTATATTAGAAAAGAAGAAAGGCCTAAAATCAACGATTAAAAAAAACAACTAGAAAAGTAAAGCAAACCCAAAGTACATAGCAGTTCATATTTAATAAATATTCCTTCTTCTTCTAAGGGACATCAGAAAACTTTTTGGGGTGATGAGTGTAACTGCTGATGTTGGCTCTCAGTTCTTGAGTGTGGCAAAGAAAGAATTCAGAGCCAATAACTCTAACACAAGAAGAAGTTTACTTAACATACAAAGCAAGAATACACCGGAAGAGAAGATTCAGGTGGACTGCTCAGAAAGAAAGTCTCAGAGGCAGAAGTGAGACAGCTGGCCCATGTGGTCTCAGGAATCAAGTTACAGAGGCCAAAGAAGAGACCTTGGAGCCAGGTTCAGG